CGAACCCGCACGCAAGCTGTTAATTTGGTCATCGTGGAAGGATCGCCGACTTCGTATAACATTGTAATAGGACGACCGATGCTGGCATACCTTTCGGCCGGTCCCCTCAACTATTCATCAGAAGCTCAAGTTCCCAGTCGACGGAATGGTATGAGAGGTCAGAGGAGATCAAACCCAGTCGAGATCATGTTACGTTGAGATGGTTAAGATAGCAGAGAAGGGGCGACGTGACACTCTCACCAAAGAAGATTTGGGGGACGAGAAACGCCCCCGAGTTGACCCCGAGGATAAGATTAATCATGTACAACCTATGGACGAATTAATGATGATTGACCTCGTCCCCGGTATGATGAAACAAACCCGGATAAGTAAGGATTTAGAACCATCTCTCCGAGACGAGCTGATAACGCTACTACGATCTAATGAAGACGTCTTCGCGTGGCAACCAAGCGACCTAACCGGTATCTCACCTCGTACTGTTGTGCACAGGCTCAATTTGCGACCTGAGTGTAGACCTGTCAAACAAAAACGACGGCATTTCGGTACCGAAAAGGACGAAATCATACACAAGGAGGTTCAGCGACTTCTGGACATCGGACATATCAGGGAAATCCAATTCCCCACATGGCTGTCCAACGCAGTTTTAGTGCAAAAAGCCAACGGCCAGTGGCGAATGTGCATCGACTTCAGGGACTTAAACAAGGCTTGCCCAAAGGACGATTATCCCTTACCTCGTATAGATCAACTTGTAGATGCCACTGCCGGGTGCGAACTACTTAGTATGATGGATGCTTCGCAAGGATACCACCAGATTCCGCTGGACGAAAAGGACCAGCCGGCAGTAAGTTTTGTCACGGCCACGGGTACTTACTGCTACGTGGTAATGCCTTTCGGTTTGAAAAATGCAGGGGCCACGTATCAGCGATTGATGGATAGAATGTTTCGGGCTCAACTCGGACGCAACATCGAAGTCTACGTTGATGACATGCTAGTTAAAAGCAAAAGGCGTTCTACGCACCTCGCAGATCTAGCTGAGACCTTTGCCACCCTTCGTCTATATGGAATGAAATTGAACCCCGCGAAGTGTGCATTCGCAGTACAAGCTGGAAAATTTCTGGGATATGTCGTTAATCGAGAAGGTATTAAGGTGAACCAGGATAAGGTTGAGGCCGTGCTCCAGATGACACCCCCTCGCTCCATCAAAGAAGTTCAATCCTTAGCAGGGAAGGTAGTAGCCCTAGCTCGGTTTATATCACGGATGGCTGATAAGAGTCTACCTTTCTTTAAAATATTGAGGAAAACAGCTCAGTTCGAATGGACTAACGAGTGCCAGCTCGCATTCGATGCACTAAAACGATCCCTCACTTGTCTGCCGATTCTTAGCACTCCTGAAAAGGGCGAAACTCTGTTCGTATACCTATCGGTAGGCGACGAATCAATCAGCTCGGTCTTGTTCAAAGAGGTGAATAACCAGCAAAAGCCGATCTACTATACTAGTAAAATCCTGACTACGTCAGAAAGCAAATATTCTGAAGTCGAAAAGATAGCATATGCTCTGGTCCTCACCACGCGACGACTACGGCCTTACTTCTTGTCGCATACCATGATAATCCGTACAAGTTTACCACTTCGGCAAACCCTGGGCCAACCTACTGCATCAGGACGAATTGTTAAATGGGCCATCGAATTAGGACAGTACGAGATTCAGTATCAACCCCGCACCTCGGTCAAAGGACAGACGCTGGTAGATTTCATCCGGGAGACTACCCGAATACCAATCGAGAAGGAGTGGAAAATTTATGTAGATGGGTCATCTACAGCAACAGGAGCAGGGGCAGGAATAATAGTCATCGATCCCACAGGAACGGAGGTCGAGTTTGCCGTCCGATTACCTCGAGTTTCCAATAATGAAGCAGAGTACGAAGCCTTCATCCGAGGTATGGAGATCGCTCAGGAACTCGGAGCGCGAGTGGTGCGGATATACTCTGACTCACAATTGGTGATACACCAACTAGAAGGGGATTACGAAGTAAAAAATGATAGAATGAAGGGGTATGTGAATAAAGCTCGAGCAGTACAAGAAACCTTCGAAGCCTGCACGGTGCATCAACTCCCGAGGAACGACAACCAACGTGCCGACTTCCTCGCCAAAATCGGGTCGTCAGTCGCTGACTGTGTGGAAAGAAAAATCACTATCCTCATTGCCCCTACCCCGACATCGGGAGTCATGCTGATCGATGAAGAACCTGACTGGAGAACACCTTTGTTCAAGTATTTCAGAGGAGAGCGAACTGGCACAAAAAGGGAACAACATCGATTGGCATATAAAGCAAGGCACTTTTACGTGCGGCACGAGACATTATATAAAAGGAATTTCGCTACAATAGATGCGAGATGCTTGGGAAAGCAGGAGGCTAAACACGTCCTTGACGAAGTACACCGAGGTGGTTGCGGTGAGCACGGAGGAGCTCGGGCCCTCATACAGAAGTTATATCGGGCAGGATATTATTGGCCCGGCATGAAAAAAGACACACACCGATACGTTCATACTGCGCACAATGCCAAAAATATGCCCCACTTATCCATAAACCGGGGGAAGAGATGATTATCATGAGTGCCCCATGTCCCTTTGCTCAATGGGGGATTGACCTAGTAGGACCATTCCCTCAAACTACTGGCCGGAAAAAGTTCATCATTGTTGCGGTAGACTACTTCACTAAATGGGTCGAAGCTGAGGCCTTATCAAAAATATCAGAGGACGAGGTTATGCACTTCGTCTGGAAGAATATCTGTTGTCGGTTTGGTCTGCCTAGAAGCATCGTATCGGACAATGGCACTCAGTTCAACGGCAAGAAAATTCGCGCATGGTGCGAGGAAATGAAGATAACACAGAAATTCGTGGCGGTAGCGCACCCCCAGGCTAATGGCCAAGTAGAATCCACAAACCGGACCATTGTCAACGGTTTGAAGAAAAGACTGGACGAGCTAGGGGGAAGCTGGGTAGACGAGCTGCCCTCAGTCCTTTGGTCTTACCGGACAACAGTCAAAACAGCTACGGGCGAGACGCCATTTCGGTTAACCTATGGAACCGATGCTGTTATCCCGGTCGAGGTGGCAATGGACACACTCCGCATCGCCACATTTGATGAAAAGACAAACGATGATGCCTTGAGGACACAGCTGGATGAGGTTTTTGACCTACGAGAAGCGGCGTATCTACACATGGAACGAAGTAAGAACCTGATCAAAGCTCGATACGATCAAGGGGTACGGCCTCGTTCATTCCAGATCGGTGATCTCGTCCTACGACGAGCTGACGCACTAAAGCACACAGGAAAGTTAGAGGCCAATTGGGAAGTGAAAGAATTTATGGTCCCGAATTCGTATTATACAGAGATGTTATCTAAAATGTTATGACACTTGAGACAACATGCAGCGGAAATATAAAGATTAAAAGACAATGCTCAGAATTAAAAATGTTCACAAGTAAAGACTTGTGAACTTGCCCTTTACAGGACGGAAAAATATATTAAAAACAGTATTCTAAGAATACAAACAGAAGAGTGCGAAAACTTCTTCCTTATGAATGAATCTTTTTCAAGATCACTCTTACAACCAAATCTAGATACTAAAAGAAAAATATTAAAAATTCTAGATTTCAAAGAATGTACTCATAAAGAGTACGTACAACAGATCCTAGAAAACACACTAAAATTCTCGAGATTAAAACTTCAGCTCTATTTTTGTTTCCTCGAAATCTGCATGAATCTTGAGTCTTGAGTTGGGTATTTATAGACTTGCCAAGCTTCCTCTTCTCAGCCCATGATCTGCAAGAAAACCAACCACAAGAGCACTCAAGATAATGGGTTAGTGGGTTAGTTTGGAAGTTAAGATAAATTCCATAATTAAATCCACTAAGCATTACTTAACCCCACTTAGCCCACTAACTAAGATTTAGTTTAAAGTTAAGAAAAGTTAAAACATATTGTGAAATTAATTCACGTGTTTCAGGAAGGACCATACATGGTCACAAAATGTTTGGCTGGTGGAGGATATGAGCTGGCAGACGTAGAAGGAAAACCATTGCCACGAGCATGGAATGTCATCCATTTGAAACGCTTCTTCGCGTAAAAAAAAAAAAAAAAAAAAAAAAAAAAAAAAAAAAAAAAGAGAAAGAAGATAGAAGATAGAGGCAATTAAGTCAGAGAAATCGAGACACACCTTGTACAGGCAAACAACCATTAATAAACATCCATTTTCCGATCTGGGCTAGGCCCCGTGGTTTTTTCTCTCCTCATTTGGAGGGTTTCCACGTTAAAAAATCCTTGTGTTATTTATTTTAAGTCTTACTGTAGCGTTAAATCGCGTGTTTCATTGTGGCGTTAAATCGCGTGTTTCATTGTGGCGTTAAATCGCGTGTTTCATTGTGGCGTTGAATCGCGTATTTCATTGTGGCGTTAACTCGCGTGTTTCATTGTGGCGTTAACTCGCGTGTTTTATTGTGGCGTTAAATCGCGTGTTTTACTGTGGCGTTAACTCGCGTGTTTCACTGTGGCGTTAACTCGCGTGTTTCATTGTGGCGTTAACTCGCGTGTTTCATTGTGGCGTTAACTCGCGTGTTTTATTGTGGCGTTAAATCGCGTGTTTTACTGTGGCGTTAACTCGCGTGTTTCACTGTGGCGTTAACTCGCGTGTTTCATTGTGGCGTTAACTCGCGTGTTTCATTGTGGCGTTAAATCGCGTGTTTCATTGTGGCGTTAAATCGCGTGTTTCATTGTGGCGTTAACTCGCGTGTTTTACCGTGGCGTTAACTCGCGTGTTTTATTGTGGCGTTAAATCGCGTGTTTTACTGTGGCGTTAAATCGCGTGTTTCATTGTGGCGTTAACTCGCGTGTTTTACCGTGGCGTTAACTCGTGTGTTTTATTGTGGCGTTAAATCGCGTGTTTTACTGTGGCGTTAAATCGCGTGCTTCACTAAGTAGTTAAATTGCATGTTTTAGTGTGACGTTAATTCGTGTTTTCCGTTGCAGCGCTAAGTCGCGTATTCGTAAGCGAGATGATGGGATCAAGCATTAAGTTGAAATATAAAAACAGTTTTCCGAGATCAAGTTGACTGACAAGCTTAAAGGATAAGCACACATGAGAACCATCTGGAATATGGAAATATGGACTAAATTCGAGGTCAAGACAAGACGAATATAAAAGCTCAAATTAAACTTGGAAAAAAAAGGGGGAATTTCCGATATGCTGACATAAAAAACGGAAGAATTGTCAAGAATTCATAACAAAAGGAAATAAAGAACATAATGTTTAAGAAATACATATTCAGAATACAAAACGGAAAAAATGGTTAAGTCTTCTTTATGGCCTTCACTTCGGGACTGCAGCATCTGCTTCACTTCGATTCTCAGCATCCGGAGGGGGCGGCGAAACGAGGCTTGGCTGTGCCTCGTCGGAACTGACCACCGTTCCAAGGGCCCCAATATCCCCGACGAAGTCCGTAATGGCTCCTTGACGGGTAAATTCTTCAACAAGGCCCTGGTAAACCGGCCTCCACCATTCCAAGTTGGGGTCCTCATTAACATCCCCCTCAAAACCCGGGATCACGTCATCGGGAAGGTCTTCGGCCAGTTCATTTTCCACCAGTGGGAATTCGATGCCAGCACCACCTAACCTCTTTCGAACAGCTGCAACCGCCGATGAGAAGAAGAAGCGAGCCAACCCTGAAGCTTCTCGGGTGAATGTAGTCGAACGCCACAACCGGTGAAAGAAACGACGAACGAACTCTTCAATAAAACGGAGGCCCTCAGGCGACCCCGGGAACAACCTTTGCCCTTCTTTCACTCCTTCGGCGAAATTAGTAGAAGCCTGCACTCCGGCTGCGTACAGCTCGTTGGAAAGCCCTTTGGCTTTTTCTTCTAGGCTGGTGACGTGAGAACCCAGGGAGTCCTTCTCCGCCTGCAAGATCTTCTCCCTCTCCTGCAGCCTCTTCACCTCGGCGAACAACCCTTCCTTCGACGATTCCGACATCGCCAAACTCTCCTTCAGGCCTCGAACTTCTTTTCGAAGTTGAGTCACCTCCTTCTTTTGGTTGTCGTATGCCTCACGCGAGACATCATCCCATCCCAAAGGACCCGAGAAAGCGATGGCGAATTGCTGCATGTATAAGAAATTCAAACAAGGTTAGACTTGAATAAAAAATACGAAATTAAGGAATTGCTCCGCATGAACGAGATAAGACAAACCTGTGTAATGTTGTGAAGAAGTAGCTCAAGTCGGTCGCCCTTACTCATCTGCCCGAAATGGGCAACATCGGTGGGAAAGGCCAGAGACCGACATGCAGCAATGGCATTCTCTGCGTTTTGGCAGAGATGAAGTCCAAAACCAGCAGGCAAGGACGACCCAGCCGGCCCGAGGGCCAGGTCAGTTCTCCGCTTCTTCGGAGCGGGCTCTTTTTCCACCACTTCTTCGGTCGAAAGAGGAGGTGGCGAAGAGGCCAGAACTATGGCAGAAGACCGCCGGGGAGGGTCAGAATCCTCAGTACGCGGTCCACCTCGAGCGCGAGGAGGCGCGGCATTCTTCTTGGGAGGCCTGGGTCTTAGAGCCCCTTCCTCCGAAGAGTGTTTCTCAGATTCAGCGACCAAAGAGTCTGGAATTCGAACGCGTCAAATCCTGGCTCCGGCTCGGACGGGCGAGTAGCCGTTTTATCACCTCGGAACATCCTCTTCATCCTTAAATCTATCCACAAAATTGGAAAAAACAGGATAAGTAAATGAGGGGTAGAACAGGTAAATATGGAATTAGCGAGATGACAGAAACATTTATCCAAAGTAAAACAATTAACCGAAATAAGGACAGGTGTCGCGATTAAACCCACCTAAATCTTCCCGAGTTAAGGAATATGTGCTGTTGTCGTGAAAATAGAAGTGGCGAAGCATCGGCGGAAAGCTGGTGAGGCTATCCGGGACGCCGTAACTCGGTTGAAAGTGAGATATCATTTTTAACAAACATTCATCAACTGCCAAGGGTTTTCCCCTTTTCTTCTCAGGCAAGGTGGCAAGCCAAGGGCATAAGTAGGGAGTATCAACGGGATTTTTTGCGAAAAAATAATGACCTTGCCACCCATCGGTTTTGTTGGGTGGCATCAATATTTTGAAACCCGGACGAGCCGAGATGGAAATATGGAAGGGACTATAATTTTTCAACACCATGACACTTCGGAAGCGAGCTGGTGTAGGGATCACCCATGACCAAGCGCATAGCATGCGGAATCCGGTCATGATTATTATGGCATGAGGGTGGAATTGGTTAAGGGACACATTACATAGTTGGGCAATTTCAGAAAACCAGGGCGAAATAGGAAAGGACAGACCGAAATAGAACTGCTCTGAAAACCAAGTACTAAAACCTAGAGGGGGATTTAAAGGGCGGTCATCTCGCGAAGGTAGAATCAACTCGACATCGGTAGGGAGGCCTATGTCGCGAACTAAGTTAGCCAGATCTATTTCGGTTAGGGTACTGGGCCCCCATTGGTCGTCCAAATCTCGTCCCTCGGATAATGAAGGCGAACCACTCCTCGCGGAAGAAGAAACCTCTTTCTTGCCCTTTTTCTTGGGTCGTTCCAAGAGTTTACCCGAAGGGGAGAAGTAAGGCCCCTCCTCCGACGAGGAAGAGATAGAAAAAGCGGGGTTTTCACCCCCCTCCCCGGAGGGCACTTTTTGGCCGAAAGGGTCAGGAGAACGGGCAGACATTATCAAATTCGAAGAGTAAAGGCAGGGGTAATAAGAGATGGGGGAAAGAAGCAGTACCTTGACCGGGGAAAGGAGTAGGCTCGAGGAGGGAAAAACTCTGTCTCAGAGAAGAAAATCACCAGAAAGCAAATAAGAGAAAAAATGCGTAGGGGAAAAGGAAAATTTTTTACAAATTGGGCAAGCTGGGTATTTATAAGGAAAAAAGGTAAAGGAAAATTAAATCTCAACCACCCATTCGGACGAACGAGATCAAAAGTTGGCCGCCTCGAACTTGACGCAAAAAAACGCCGATTGAAATCCCTTCATCATGACCTAGGGAACTCGAATCGACCGCATTGATTGATAGGGCGGCCAGAGGCGGAAGGCACATTTCCCCATCAGAAGTAAAAGTTAAAAACGAGCTATTACCTCGCATCTCATACTCCATATTTATCAAACGAGATAACACAAAGTCTTCTCGCCCGATAATTAAGGAGTAGGGGGGAGTAGTTGATACGGGCTAGTTCGACAAGTAACAAATAAGCATAAGCCCGTTAGGTTAAGCCCAATATGATAGGCCCACGACGAAGAACCCATGACGACTTAGCTCGGTATTATGAGCGAAGTCGCCGTATGGTGCGAACCTCGGAATCACGTGGGAGTACCTTAACTCGCCAGCCCAATACCAAAACAGGGCATGGCGAGCCCAGGACAATACAGGCCCAAGATACATGACTTGGAGGAAAAGAGAAACCCTAAAAAAGGAAAGCCTTGAAGGCCAAGCTTTCATCATCTATAAATAAGAGAATCAACACACGCACACACAAGATATATACACTAATCACTGTGACATTGCATACACGTTTTCTTCTCTGTTCCGATCACTGACTTGATCGTTGGAGCTTTCCCGCCGGGAACCCCTCCCGGCGTTGCAGGTATCCTCACCGGAGTAAGGGCCCAGCTGACTTAAAGAAGAAGGAAGCCCCACGGACGAAATCAAAATCCAACAGCGAATATTCAAAATCTGACACTACCGAAACGAAAATGCAGATTTGTAGAGAGAGAAAGAGATATAGCGAGAGAGAGTACCATCGGTGGAAATTGATGGTCTACTCCTTCCTGGCCTTGTTACCCTTCTCCGCCATTGTTGCTGTAGCTGCTTTTATCGCTTTTTCTTCACTGATGAAAACACTAATTCCTGGATTACCGAGGGTTATATGATGGATGGTTTTCTGAGTTACCAAAAATGTCCTTCGTTTGCTTTGGAATTACAAAAGTATCCCCAAGGTAATTAAGTAATTAATTCAACCCTCGATTTGGC